CCCTTCTCCCTGTCACCAAGGAGCTGAATTGGCCAGGAGTTGGTTTTGCCACGTGGCATGAGACCGCCATGGGGATCCTGTGATTCGCCCCTGTGGAGCGCACGTCTGGACCTGTGGAAGTTTCTACCCCACCCCATCCTCGAACAACAAGCCCCTGGCTAAACCCGAGAACCATCACTCTGCTGGAGGAGACTCGGCCTGGAAGAGACTGCTATATATATTATATTTTTTCCCTTTTTTTTAGTTTTTTGTTCTTTTTTTTTTGTTTTTGCTTTTTAAAAAATTTTAAATGGCTTTATTTAGTTTATTTTTTGTTTTATTCTTTTTTTGTTTTGTTTTGTTTTTTTTTACCATGAGGGGGGGAAAGAGGAGAGTGCCGTGATGGGGCTGACGATTTTATGGACACACGCTTGGAGACGACTGGCTGGGGGGATCTCCCATGGGCAAGATCTGAGACTGTGCAGGCGTTAAGACTCGAGCGCATGCTGTTCCGTCTGGTGTTGTAGCCATCTCGAGAACAATACAAATAAAAACAAAACTAAGTTTAAAAAAAACGAATCAAAGCCCGGGTTTGCGGTTTGTCTTTGCCTGCTGCCCCCACAATCCTTTGTGCTTTCAAGGCTCTTCTGAGTTAAGAACGAGGTTCTCTTAACAATAAGGTCCCTTTAAGGCTGCACACTGGATGACCAACATGGACTAGCTGACCATGACTGCCTGACGCACCCGCTACAGCTCCCTCCACCCTCCCCTGCCTTGATCCTCCCTGCGTTTGAGGCTCTCCTATGTTAAGAACGGGGCGCTTGTACACATGACAAAAAAGTCACTTTGTGTGGCTTAACAGTGTCACACATTACATGTGCGTCAGTTTGGGGGATTTTAGATGAGTTTGCATTGTTGCAGCTATTAGTCAACTCGTCCCCAGGCCATGGGAGTGCTGGGCAGGCTCCGCAGAAAAAAGGGATCAGGCCTCTTGCAGCTTCTGCCTTCAGGAGGTGCCTGCTGAAGGCAGAAGCAGTGGTGAGGGGCCTGATCATTTTTTTTTTTTTTT